GCACGAACTGACCTCTTGATGATGTCCCATAAATGTTTGATGGGATTCATGTCGGGCAGTCTAGGTGGCAGATCATTCGCTGGAATTGTCCAGAATGTTGTAAACAATTGCGAACAATTGTGGCCCGGTGACATGGCGCATTGTCATCCATAAAAATCCCATCATTGTTTGAGTACGTGAAGTCCATGAATGGCTGTAAGTGATCTCCAAGTAGCTGAAGGTATCCATTTCCAGTCAATGATCGGTTTAGTTGCACCAGAGGACCGAGTCCATGCCATGTGAAAACAGCCCAGATCATTATGGAACCACCACCAGCTTGAACAGTGCCTTGTTGACAACTTGGGTCCATGGCTTCATGGGGTCTGCGCCACACTCGAACCCTACCATCAGCTCTTACCAACTGAAATCGTGACTCATCTGACCAAGCCACGGTTTTCCATTCGTTTAGGGACCAACCGATATGCTCACGAGAGTCGCTGCAGGTGATGTCATGCTGTCAGTAAAGGCACTCGAGTCGTCTTCTGCTGGCACATCCCAAGGAAGACAAATTTCATCGCACTGTCCTATCGGACATGTCCCACGTACATCCCACATTGATTTCTGCGGTTATTTGCCACAGTGTTGCTTGTCTGTGAACATTGACAACTCTACACAGACATCGCTGGTCTCAGTCGTTAAGTGCAGGTGGTCGGATCTCTTTACGGATGGAGCAATAATACCGATTCAAAACTGTATCCAATTGTTGTTTTTTTTTTTTTTTTTTTTTTTTTTTTTTTTAAATGCAGAGGTTTCAGAAATGGAGTGAAGTTTACTTTCTGTCCCCACTCTAGAAGGACATTCGACAGGCTTTAATATAGCACAGCTAATTATTAAAACTTATAAATGTGGATGAACACATTGTTGATATTTATTATCTTGAAAGAAGTTCTAAAGAAAGGGAAAATTGAAACAGTTCCAACAGCTGCATAACAGCAGTTTACAATTAGAAAACTTGGATGAAGTTATAAAATCAGCTAGGATTGACACCCAGTGGAGTTTAATTGGAAAACTGAAAGGTGCTGATGGAATTGTAAAATATAGTGAACTATCTAGAATTATGTTGGCCATCTTCACAGTTCCACATAGTAATGCAGAGTGTAAGAGGATTAAATTTAGATTTAATATTAGTGATGACATATTAGGAAAACTTTTATTAGCGAAAGCAGGCCTACGTGGCAATTGCTATCAACAAAACTATGAAGTTTCTTTCTTAAAGAAAGCAAAATCTGCCACTGTTTATAACATTTGTACGAAAACTGATTAAAGTGTCTCTCTCTTTTTTTTTTTTTTTTTTTTTTTCTTCCCAAACGATGCAAGTAAAAAAAATGTTTTTTATGTGTAAGGTATCTTTGTGTTGCTTGCATTTAAGAATTAGTTACCATTTAAAGTTAATTCATTATTAAAAACTATTTTTATCATTTAAAAAGTCTTTTTAACATTGTAAAAAATCTCCTGATTTCTTTAAAAAAATCTGATTTTTGAGTGTCATAGGTTGGCAAGTATGCAGTAACAATTCCACCATTGTTTCGTATATTTTAGTATTTTTCCTGATGTTCTAGGAATGGAAAGCATGGTTGCCTGAATAATACTATTAATAACAGCTTCAACAGCATCATCAACATGCACATCTTCTACCATTTCATCTGTCAGCTCTGTAACGAAAGAGAAGAGTTCTAAAACTGCCCTGTCCAGTATAAACTGAGGGAGTCTCGACATGGGGTTTGCTCCTCTTCGTGCAAGAGACACAAAAAATGGGATAATGATCGCTGTTGTAAAGATCATTTCCGACAATAAAAGTGCAAAATGGCAACAGAGATGGTGAACAGATGGCAAGGTCCAGAGCGTGGAATATCCTTGAAGGCTCATGAAATTACTTAATCACAACAATAACTAATTGTTTACATTTTATTCTATGTAAATGGTTTATCATCTCAATGCAAACGCTGCACTTTGCCTTACGCGATTTTCGCCCAGCAGAACTTTTCCCCCCGATAGTGGGCTGAAGAGGGAATTTTTGCAAAGCGCCTTTTGATGCCATTTTCCTCTTGGCGTCAAAAAATTCCTCCCAAAGATATGGCGATTTTTCGCGATTCAAGATGGGGAAAAAATTATAAGTGCCACTTATCCGAGTTTTCCCGTACTTTCTATTCTGTTAACCTCTCCTGCCAACCCACCTCCTTAACCCTTTCGAGATAGCGCTCTTTTGTTTTAAGACGTTCCTTTGGGATGGATATCCACTAAGCCTAATTTTAAGAAAAGAAATAAAAAAAAGTTTATGGCTTAAGATCACAATTTTTGGTACTGTTTTAGATTATTACTTAAGCTATCGCATGTTTAAATTAGCATATAATAATTGTTTTTCTTTTACAAGAATATGTAAATAACTATTTACGTTGAGAAATAGATTTCAGAAGCACTGTTGCACTTATTCCAAAATTTTGATTTATAAAACATGTTAGTAAACTTTTAAATTAATAAAAATATAGAAGAAAGACTCTTTATTAAAGAAGTAAGTCTTTTGCATTAACTGGAAGGCTGACACTCAGTGAGCTCAGTCACACAAATGTCTGTGTGAGAATCACTGGAAATAACGCTCTCGAAGTCTTGAGAAAATAAATCACCACTCTTAGCCATTCACTGATTGCCTCATTTACCATGCGAGTATATCCTTCAATTGATAAGTGAAACTTTTTTGTCATAATAAACTGAAGTTGAGGCTTTCCAAAATAAAAAGGGAGGTACATGAAATATAAGTGGTAAAAGCAATGCAAGGCAAAACAGAACCCCACATAGTAACCCTAAAAGAATCCATAGACGTAAAAAAAGATTCGAAAGCATTGCAGGAACACGGATGTTCATATGAGGTAGCAAGTTAAAGAGCTGAGTTTACATTATGTGCTTTCCCTCCTCTCCCATAACACCAACATTTAACAGAATGTGATTAAATTAAAGGTCAGGATCCTAAAGCTCTATTTAATTCAAAAGTAATAGACACAGAATGTGATCTAATGGTTTTTAAAGCATTCTGGGACACTGGCACGAATTTGGGATGACCAGAGGTGAACAAGCAAACACTGGCGTGGGGGATGGGAAATGAATGCATTTCTTCCTGGCATGTATGTATGACAGTCAGCACGCAAGCGTTAAAGGGAACAATTATACAGCATTCCATTTCATTTTTACTTTCTTGTACAAAGTTAAAAGGAAGTATTGTAATCACGGAAAGTTTCAGGCACCATATTTCAACGAAAATATCCATTTTGACCGTTATCGAATGCAATTTAACGATGTATTTCCGTGATATCTGTACGTAAGGACAGAATAAAACACTCTTTTCCTCCCAAAAAAATATAGAAGTGCTTTAAAATGAATTCTGAAGAGAATTTTTATGTATCTCGCATAACTCAAAAACGAGTAGCCTCAGAACGTTGAAATTTTGTATATAGGACTGCTATGACATGTAGATGTGCACCTCGTATTTTGGTTGCAAACGGCCGCACCAAACGTATATAAATATATATATATCCACTCTGTTAGCCGGCTCAGTGATCTCAGATTCTTTACTCTTATATATTTGTAAATTGTACATTTTTTGCTTTAAAAATGATTGAATTATGTTGTTTTTATCTTCCGGTTAAGGTTTTTATCCCTTTTGTAAATCTGGAAACAATATTTGTACAATTATCAACAATTTAAAAGGTGTTTAAGTGCGGTTATGTTTTAAAAAACATGGCAGATATATTTGTGTAAATGTGAAACAGCAGAATAGTAGATTTGTTGCCAGTCTAGAAAAACTAAGCTTCGCAACAACAAAGATAACGCCTTTTTTATTATTGCCAATTAAGTCGTGCTTAATCCTTTCTGGAATTTTTTCGAGGAAATAAGTGTTTAAGATTTACTTCGTAATTTTTAATACAGATAATTTTGAGTTTTTATGTATTTTTACCTTGTCGCGAAGTGAGAATTGAATTAATTGAATGAGAAATACTCAATAGTCTGTAAAAAACTCTTTCTTTTTTGTTTTGTTCACTTAATTTATTTTACATCGTTCTAGCTTTATTATAGTATTTGATTAGAACATGTAACAACGATTAGATATTTCTTTAAATGATATAAATTTTGTGCATTCTGAGTTATAATATGAACGAAATATAATACTGTTAAGTGAACCTAGTACCACAATATCGCTATGGTAAACAAATGTAGTGAATTTTAAAGAGTGCATTTATTCTATTGTGGTTTATGTGCTTTCGACAAAGTAGATTTAATTCATTCCAATAAGTTTAAATGAAATGCAAGAAAAAATGCATATAATTTAATATTCCGTACAAGGAAGTCGTGGTGTACACAACAGATTTTTTTAATATGGATTTTTGCGTGAAAATTGAAATATATCTGTTTAATTGCTGCAGATGCATTCAAGTTTGTAACCAATGCAGTATTAATTAATTGATTTAAAAAAATCAGTTGTATTTCTTATGTCTTGAGTCTAACATAGGGGGAAAGTCACATAAATTAATTTAGTCCAGTTGTTTCAGTTTTGAAACATTAATAGAGGAACATTCAAGTAGTTGTGGGAATTTAAGTTGAAGACGATGGTTATTTTCTATTTGAAGTATAAAAAATATTTTGCTAAATGATACACAAAATGTTCATCTCAGTGCCAGTCAAATTGTAAAAGAAATGAATGAAACCTCTAAGACAGTGCAACATATCACCAAAAATTTTATTAAAAGTGTACAGAAATTGAGAACATCTCCATGTGTTTTTATCAGCTGGCACAGTTTGGGAACATTGGCATGTAAAGGTTAACTCTTAATCTGGAAGGTCCCTTTATTATAAAAATCCTTGATGTTGCTGTAAATTTTTATGCTTATTTTTTTAATGTAATTTCATTAATAAGTACTTAACAAAATATGTGAATATGGATATTTTATTTCATCTCTGTATGTCTATTTTAGGGTTTGAAAGATGCCTCGAATACCAACTGTTCATAGTAAAACATATGTAACCCCACGTCGTCCTTTTGAAAAGGAGCGTCTTGACCAAGAATTGAAGTTTATTGGAGATTTTGGACTCCGAAACAAGCGTGAAGTTTGGAGAGTGAAGTATACATTAGCCAAAATACGGAAAGCTGCTCGGGAATTGCTTACTCTTGATGAAAAAGATACTAGAAGACTTTTTGAAGGTATTTCTTAAAATTTTATTTAAAAGATTTTAAGGATTTTCAACTAACAATGTTAATATTGTCAGTTCACATTTTTGTAAATCTTTTAAAATTTTTTTAATTTAAAGATTAGACAAACTGAAACAAAAAATGGTAGAGAAATTGTTCATTTGGTTTTTCTCCTGTGTAGCTGAAATCTTATATTATTTCTTTTTAAAGTTGGTGAAAAGATTTCTCTAGTTTGCTTTATCATGCCTTCCCAATATTTTTTTAATTTAATTTTTTTGAATGTTTTGCATAGGGTAAATTAAGATTTTGGCTAATCATCCATAAGTGACGTAAGTTGTCGCCAAACACATTTCGTGTCTGATGTCAAACTTCACACTGTCGTTTCATTTCACAATTTGCCATTGGCAAAAAGAAACAGCGAAGTAAAATCTAACATCGCTATGATGGCATAGATGAAGCTAAATACAACACAAGCATAAACTACTACAAACTAAAACATAAATTTAAAATAAATTACAAAAAATTCAATTCTCAACATGAAACTCAAAATTACAAAAATAATACCAGATATCTCTCACTTGCATAAAAAATTGTCAATTAAGTAAATATATTCAAAGTGACTAACAGTGGATGCATCATAAACTCGCTAATATATACAAGTTACTATCGTCGTGGAATTTAACACACTGAATCACTTTCGCTCAACACTTTAAACATTACACATCACTCGGTTGCCCCATGCATGAAATAAAATTAAATGAAAACTTTCATAAATTAATAACTACACTTCATCTGAAATTTAACATTCTCCCACCAACAACAACTTTTAACCTCTTTCAAATATTAAGCAGTAAAACTTTTAAAAATATGCACAATATTTCAAAATTAAATTTTAAAAAAACTTCTGTCTGTACAAAATTCACACTCGTTACAATCACTGAAATAAAGCTCTATATTTTCCTAAAGAAAACATACGGTTGGAAACCACAACCAAATCGAAATCATGCCAAGTAAAAACTCTCTCCGAGTTTTGCCCTCACCCCACTTTAGAAAGATTAATATTTTTTTGCCTGTTTTATTTGCTAGTATTAGCGATGTTAGAAAATGCTTAACTATATGTATGAGTCATGGTTTTTATTTTGGCAGAGAACTGTAAGTGTAAACAACAAATGATGAAGGTAGATGTGACAAAGTGAATTTGCTTTCTGCATGATGAAGCAACTATTCTTTCTGGCAACCGTGATCTTTGTTATATTTTATTTCTTACTACATTATATTTAAGTGCATGAAGTTTTATATAGGATTTAATCATTAATTTCTGGTAATAAATAAAATTGGTTTATCTTATTAGAGATTGTTATGCGTTTGTAGAAACTAAGAATGCAGCTCTATTTGAAAAGCATACAGTGCAGCAAAAACATTTTAGGACTAAATTTGTGCAGAGACAGAACTTGAACATAATATGCTAGCTTTTTTATCTTTATTATGTGTAGAACTCATTTTTTAGTATAATCAAGTCTTTATTTTTTTCTTAATTGCTTCAGTGCTTATAAAAAGATGTAGGCATCTACAGATGCCTACATCTTTTTATAGGCATTTGTAGATGCCAAGTCTGGTGGAAGTATGATTGACATTTGTGATATATTTTGAAACTGCTTGGCAAAAATAGGAATGTTTGATTGCAAGTTTTAATGCAGTAGAAGTAATTTTTTAGGGTGGCCTAATGCGTTAAATTTTCTTCAGTAGTCTGTCTGTTATACCTTTTTAAAATATCGTCACTGATGGGATCTTTTCAAAAAGGTATAGATTGCTGTAATTTTTTCAGTAATGATTGTTGAACTTTTCAGTGAGTTTTCGTCCGCTCAACATAAAAAAAGCAATTATTCCTGGTTTGCTTTCTAGTCAATTATCTAATTATCTCCACTGCTGTTTTTCTCCACTTTGTAGCAAAATTTTCTTGCTATTCTTTTCTCAACTTCTGGACCCATGGTAAAGATATACTCTAGATCAGTGGTTCTCAACCGGTGGTACGCAAAGAAGCAAATAAGAGGGTTGCCACGCTGCCGAGGAAGTCAGAAAATTTAAGTGTTTTAGTCAAAATCTGGAATAGTAAGGCAATACGATGATTCCCCCACAAGCGATTTTTGCACCAATGTTGGAAGCGACCACATTCTTGGGGAATTCCGTATCCCGTGAGCATCATTCGAGCAACAGGCAGAGATAAAGCCAATTTTTTGCAGCTCCAATCAGATTGTCTGTTAGAAAGGCAAAGCAAGTTTCCACTAAATTTGGTTTCCAGTAACCTCGAGAATCTAGTGACTTGTGCATGTGCAGTGCGTGCATGTTGAACTAAAGAAAATATCTTCTCATTCTCGTATAAAACAAAATCGGTTTAATCCTAGTATAGGGTACCATAGAGGTTAGAATAGCCTCCATGTACTACTCTATTCTAACCTCCATGTACAGTACACACGGGATTTGGTGACAATTTTGAAAATCGTGCCAAGGCTATAGCGTATACTAGGATTTTACCCCAAAATCTTTTAAACCCCTTTTTTTCTTCCTTTTTAATAAATACCCTATTTGTGATTTTGCAGTAAAATGAAAATAATAATAATAATCGGTCATTCTAGGCTAACCATTTAATATATTTGCCAACATTTCATTGAGTATTGTAAATCAGTTTTTAAGTAATTAACTTTAATGTTATTCGTATCATTTAATGTTGCTTCTTCACTCTAAATTTAGTTGTTATTAGTCAATAATGCTTTCAAATTTCAGGCAATTTTCTCTGGCATAATCCTGAAACAAATTCTAGCAATATCCCTTTGTAATCACAACATACTATCATGAAATTAAATTCACATACTTTTTTGCTTATTTTTCTGCTAAATAAATATAAAATACCTAAATTTATGTTAAAATTTAATTGAATAGATTTTTTCTTTTGTTTAGCTGCATAATATCTGTAAAAAAAGACATTTTTTAATCCAGATTGGTCAGATTCTAATCTCGGTCTTCAGTAGAGAAAACAACATGTATTATAGTTATAATAGTAATGCTTTGGGAATTATATATATAATTACAAAACAATTTTTTAAACAAAATATAAACATGCCTAATTTCGCATATTAAGCTGCTGAAAAATTACCGATAAAGACATAAAGTAAAAAATTTATAACTAATTTTTCACAAACACCAAAAATTGAAATTCATACTTTATAAATTTCAAATAATCCTATAAATGCAGAAAAAAGTTTTAAAAATGTTAAAACCAACGCTTTTCAAATAAGCAATACCCATATTTAAAAAAATTAAAGAAATTTAAAGGAAATAATTAAATACTTCAGTGAAAAATTCAAATCAAAATTTTATCATTTCACTTAAGTTTTAAATTCTTTGAATTATATGCTATTTGTTTAAATGTAAAATTTTGATTTGAATTGGAGTATTGCTTGTTTGAGAAGTTTTGTTTTTAACATTTTTTAAATCTTTTTTTTTTTTTCCTTTATTTATAGGATTATTTGAAAATTATTAATTATTAATTTTAATTTTTGGTCTGTGAAAATTAGTTCTAAATTTCTTATATAAGTCATTGGCAAATTTTTGTGTTTTCAAGTGGTACCATAATTAATTTACTTCTCAGCACAGCCAACAGGCAGGCCTGGAATTTTTTTAGAATACACCTGAAAATTAAGGGAATTTCAATCTCCTGTTTGAGTGGCAACCCTGAAATAATTTTTAACTAATTAATTCAAAAATTAAAACCCAATATACTGATTGAGTTTTTTTTTCTCTAACACTCGTGCATTTATGCGATCTGAGCTTTTTTCAAGAATGGTAGTGGTAGTACTAAAAGTTTTCATTTTTTGTTTAGATGGTACGCTCTAGTCAAAAGGTTGAGAAACAAACTCTAGATGGAAGAAAATGGTTAGTTGCATGGAAAGTTTCATCTGTAAGCAGACAGGGTGTTAGTAAATGCAAGTTTAAAATATCATAGAAGTAAATGCTGTTACTTATCATATGCTAGCTTCTTTGAAATTTGTTTAAAGAAATTAGTCTTGGAACTATTGGTGTAGTTTGCATTAACCATATCTTTATGTTCCAGGCAATTGAACTAATAGTTTCAGAATTCAAACTATTTAAAAACATTCAGCTGACGACTTGAATTGTTGTTTAGACAATACATTACATGTTTAAAAACCTTTTTCCTTAAATTATAAAATAAAAGATAATGTATAAAAAGACATTTCTACCTAGTTCAAGAGCAGAAAGTGCACAACATTGCTTGAAAATATACAACCGTATTCAAAATGTTCTTTGTATTACAAATAAATGTTTGTAGCAAAGAACTTAAAAAATTAAATATGTCTTCATTTTCTCCAACATCTATAATCCCATTCAAAGCCAATGTGCAGTCTCATTTTTTGTTCTTTCAATCAGTATGCCAGTAAACATTCATAGACAAAAGGAAACCCATAATTAGTTAACATGCTCTAATATGATGTGTAGCAAATGTCAGCAGTGTCCTTTTGAAAATCTTTTTAGTGAAGGCTTTCCCTCCTATAGGCTGATAGTCCGAGTATGCTTTGCCATAATCAAATAAGCAAACCAAACCTGACAGTAGCTGTTGTCCCTGCAAATTTTAAAATAAACTTAGCTGTATGAGAATTTGTTATTAAGCATTTAGTTAGTGTTAATTTTACATTCTTAACACTGTATTCTGTGAAGTTTTAGAATTCGCTAAAATGCTTACCACAGTGTCTCTCAGCAGCCTGGTAACAGAAAATGTGCTGAAAGAACTTATCCTCTGATTTCCAAAATTGCACTTTTTTTTTTTTTTTTTTTTTTTTTTTTCTTTTGTTGTTTTGTTGTTGTTGTTGTTGTCTGAGGTAAATCTCAAAATTTATTGATTTCGTATTTATTCTCTAGGTAATGCTTTGCTTCGTCGTCTGGTAAGAATTGGTGTATTAGATGAAAACAGAATGAAGCTTGATTATGTATTGGGTTTACGTGTGGAACATTTTTTGGAACGAAGACTTCAGACTCAAGTATTTAAACAAGGTCTTGCTAAAAGTATACATCATGCCAGAGTTTTAATACGTCAGAGGCATATACGGTAGGTGTTTACATTCACTATTTTGTAGCAAATATACTGTGAACCCTACAATATGATAATTCATGATTTTAGTTGTAAGTGGAATAACCCCCTTCAGGATGGGTGTATCATATATGCATCAACGCTTATCCTCTTATGAGATGGCATGCTGCTTAGCGCAACTCAGCTTAGAGACAGTGTGTTGTACAATCTTGCAACACGGAATATTTGCGCCACTAGGCCTAACTATAAAAAAATTCATTAAAAATATTATTTTTATTGTTTTGATTTTTTCTGTGATAGTATGTAATACTAACATAACCATAAAAACAGAATTTCGAGAGATTCTGAAAAAAATTTAATTAGAATCTAAATGCAAAATAAAATATTTTGCTCATCTTGCTGAAAAACTTGTTTAAAAATCTATCTTAACATATGTTAAAAATAAAAATATATCATCAAATAAATATTATAGCATATATTATTCAGAGAGGAGAAAATGTGTGATAATCGCAATCATTTCATTAGTTGTGAAAGACATTTTCAGGTTGAACTTTTTAATTATCCCATCCCAGCAGAATAATTAATTAATCTTGGGAATCCTCTCATTTTAGGCACATAAGAGGAGTATGTTGATTTTAAATGAAGATGGATTTTCACTCGTCTTGTTTGCAGAACTTGTTAGTTTCTTCAACTCTTATGTTCGTATCATTACGGAAGAAGGTGAAAAAATCAATTTTATTTCCATAACTTTGAGTGAGGTTTACTTCTGCAATTCCTGTAAATTCATAAGTTTCATACGTTTCAGTTTCTTGACAGATCAAGTTCATGAAATAGTAGTCATTGTTCTGCTGGATTGTGAAGTGAAAGCAAAACAAACTTCCATTTCAGTCTGCAAAAGTTACGATGTCAAAATCGCTATTCTTTAAATCTAAAATTTTCAATGTCAAAATACTCATGGGCTCGAATGAACAGAACATCAGAAACTGTTCAACATTTATCTCACATAAGGCCAACTGTGGATCAGCTGGTTTTTGTTTACTTTTGTATGATCTGCTCGTACATCTAAACGAATCGCCAGAATCAGAAAGTACTTCATGGGCACAAGGTCAACAATGTATATCTTAAAATAATATAACTGTAGTGGATATGGAGTTCCATCTAGTGATTTAAAACAAATTCTAAAAGAACATGAATGTTTGAGAATGATTGTATGCATCACCTGGCTGTTAGCGACATTTAGGACTGGTGCATATGCGACACCCAACTGCAGCATGCCGTGGCAAAGGATGTGCAACAATCAGTTTCAGTATTTGTTTACATTTTCAAAAATTATTATTGCTGTTATGAATGATTAAGAAAGGGTTCATTCTATATGAATTGAGGTGCTTGTATTATCACAACCATTTGGGTGAAGTTTGGTAATTTTTAATAAATTCTAAAAGTCAAACTTTATTGCATGTGTATTTTATATTTAAATAGGTATTGAAAATCTATTAATAAATGTTACTATCTTTTTTTTTTTTTTTTTTTTTTTTCTGTTCTAGTGGAAATTTTATGATTGCTGTAAGAATAGATTCAGAATAATTGTTCCTTTTAACAATATTATGGCGAAATACTGTATTCCTGTAGATATTTTACCACCCACTATGGAAAAAACACAGAAACACGTTTGGGTACTTACGTATTAACGCAACAAGGCCAAAATTCGCATAAATCGCCAAATTTGGCGCCCCTACTTACGGCAACCCTACGTGTTATACATAGTTTTTCGTAAAGAAATTATTTTTCTTATTGGTTAGATTGAATGCCCTGAAAAACTTTAACTATGGTGTATTTAGGATCTGCCCTGCGAGTGAAAAAGATGCTGTTGAATTGTTGCAGGGATATGGAATTATACTGAACGAACGTACTTGTAAAAATTCTCATTAAATGAAACTGTATTTTGGAAAGCAAATCTTCTGGAAATGTAACGTCGAAGAGTGCAATTGCTGGCAAAACTGTTATAGACAAGCTAAAGCTGTTAATGGCGAAGACAGTTTTCAATCAATGCTAAAAGCAATAGCCAAAAGATTTCTGCCGAAAAAATAATTCTGCAACTTATTCAAATTCGAAACCGGAAGGGTTTAATTGCTATTTTATATTTTAAAACAAAATAATATAAAAAACTGTATTAAAAATTATCTGTAATTAATAAATGTACATTTTCTTTCTATTCATACTTTTTTACTCAAATGAAAATCTATTAATAAATGTTACTTTTTTTTTTTTTTTTTTTTTTCCCTGTTCTAGTGGAAATTTTATGATGATTGCTCTAAGAATAGATTCAGAATAATTGTTCCTTTTAACAATATTATGGCGAAATACTGTATTCCTGTAGATATTTTACCACCCACTATGGAAAAATCACAGCAACACGTTTGAGTTTAGGCAGAATATATATAGACGTTGAAACTTAGTTCGTAACATAAAGAGTGGACATGAAAAGGGCAGTGTTGCCTTAAGAAAAAAACTGTCCTGCATATGGTTGCAGTATTTTAAAACAGTCTGAAAATTTGGCAACTTCTGTGTATGTGAGCCTATGAATTTTGAATGTTGTGGAAAGTGAATGGGGGGAAAGTTTAATATTTTGAGTTTAAAATGTAGATATGTTCCTACCAATGTTTTGTTAAAATTATGGATTTAGGACAAGTTTGATCTATGTATAAAGTTGGAGTGAGCTGTCAGTTTGGTCCGTTTTCATTCTCTTAGCAGTGCTAAATGAATTGATTTAAATTATATGTTCATACATGACTTTTTAATGTAAATATTGTAGTAATTTTATTTTGTAGTAGTAGTATCTGGTAATTGTTAATGTATCTGAACACATTAAATAGTGGTTGAAAGTTTGGAACGTTAAAAAAAAAAGAGAGTTATTTTAATCAGGGTTGTTATTGTCAAATGCAAATTCTGCTTCATATTCCTGTACTGCAAACGTGATATCGATTCATGTACAACAGGAACAGAAATGGTCAAAAGAACAATAAATATTTTCTTGAGGTAAAGAATGATATCCTGTATGCAATAAATTCTGGGCATTTTTTTTTTCTCTGAGCATATATATTTGTCTCTTCAACGAGAAGAGAGTAAAAGAAAATCGAAAATCTGCGTACTAGTTTTACCTTGTATTTTGTCTTTTATAATTTCTCTTCTATCTCTTTCTTCATGTTCTTCCTGAGACATAACTAACAGTTCCTTTTTTATCCACAATAAAATAAGGACACATTTTCACAAAAGGGTTCAAGATTTCAGTCTTCTGCTTTTTAAACTTTTTAGTATGACTATAACTGCTTTTAGAAGGCTGAAAATTACTTCTTACGTGAATTTCAACTTCCCCAGCAGTATCATTTGGTAAAATATCATTATTTAAAACATTGCCATTCCTTTCTTCTTTGTCACTACTTTCTGCAATTTCTGGGGAAACAACAATCATATCAGTTTTATTCTGGTCATTATTAACATTATCATCATCTGCTTCTTCAAAAAATTTTTGAAGGGCTTCTTCTGATGTAAGATACCTCGTCCTAGACATTTTTAAACAACCAGAACATCGAAAGGAATGAGTGAAAGACATTGTGTCAGCGCAACACCTGTATTCCCTTCCTTCCCAACACAAATATAAACATCTGACTGGTGTAATGTTCTGATAAAAGATGACGTTGACTAAAAATAGATCACTCATATAGAGGGCGATTCTTTCAGCAAAAATACCTGGTCGAAAATTTTGCTTAAAGTATGAGATTAATTATTATAAACAAAATAATAGTTGCCGGCTGGTATAAAATATCTTATGTAGTTATATTTATATACCCATTTATTTTGACTGTTGCGTCAACGCAGCACCAGCGGCTAATGGGTTAAAGGGTTTTCTGTATGTGACTCAACAGTCATGCCTTAATAAAAGTTCACAGTGCTCTGCATACTACAGTGCACGGAAGTTTTATATTTGTTAAATTTTAAGCTTTGTTTTATATTAGAAAGAGAAAACTGAAGTTTTTGTTCCAAATTACATTCTATGTTGTTAATTCTGCCATTAACATTTTACCATATATCAAATTGATAAATGATGTGGCATTCAAATATGCCATAAAAAAGCATACCTAATTTTTAGAACAAGAAAATATCTTAAATCTGTGTAGAAACATTTTTTTTAACATTTTGTCTGAGAACATAAATTTTTGGAGTTGCTTGTAGAAGAAAATATTTTCATGAATCTAAAATAAAGTTATCTAAATTTATGTATAAAATGTCTTATTACGTTACCGTGTTTAACTCATTTTGCTATTTTAGTTTTTCTGGCTAGTAGGTGTGTTGCAATTAAGGTCATCTCAAAATAATTTGTTTTATAAGCATTATATAGATCCAGATTTTCTTTATTGTCATCAGAATATATATAGATATTGAGATTATAATGAGTGATAGCTAAGACCTAAAATAATTTTTAATAAGGAATAATTTTGGTGCAGCTTATGGTTTTGCATAAGTAGAATATTATAATTATACTCAAGTGTAGGTGCATCAAATGAACCAATAGTTTTCAAATTTCTTGTAGATTGTTTTGATGGGGTATTAGTTCTAACCATCTGAGTCAAAACTAATTTTTTTAATGTACTTTCTGATTATCCCCATTCCTTCCTGCTGAATAGTTGGTAACTTAAATTTATCAAACTAATGCTTGAAAGGCAATAGTCCGTTTGAAAATGGCGGCACACCGGGAATTCCATACAAAAGCTGTTAGAAAACAAAAAACATTGATAATAATACTTTTTAAGGTCATTTTTTGTGTTTTTCTCTTCATGTACATATCTGTCTATTTTTGCATAAACAAACTTGCTATTGCTTATCAACAGAAACATATACGTGCTATGCGCATGCCTGGATTGCCACGTAACTGCTTTGCCTAATGAAGAGCTAGGTGGTGGCACTGATAATCAGAAAGTACCAAAGATCCTTCTAAAATTCCTTTCAGTTTTGTCTCTTAAATGCCCGTTTAATAATAATGCAGATGTCTTCTAAATTACCAGTGCTTGGCATTGCTATTGCAAATATTCATTTTTCCTTTGTAATGTTACAGAGTACGAAAACAAGTTGTGAATGTTCCGTCATTTGTTGTTCGTTTGGATTCTGAGAAACATATAGATTTCTCTCTAAAATCACCGTTTGGTGGTGGGCGAGCAGGCCGTGTCAAGAGAAAGAACATGAGGAAAGCTCAGGGTGGAACTGCTCAAGATGAAGATGATGAAGATTAGACATGTAATTTTTTCCATTTGTTCAAAAAGCAAATAAAGAAATCTTCTATAATGTGTTTTCCATGGTTTTGTTTTAGAGGCTTTTCTTTACATTCATTCATGTGAGCTTTGATTAAAGTTATCTGACATAATGGGAAGATGTCTTGTAAGATTTGCTGCTTTTGGATTTTGAGTTTCTTTATGCATTGCCCCTTTTTCCTTAAAATAGTTTTAAAGGTGAAATATAGTGCACTTATTAATGATACATATTGATATATAATATTTACTGGCATGTTTCTTCCCCTAATGTACTTTTCTTTCAAAAGATTTAGAAACTGATTTATTCTATATAAAATGTATGTACAGCTAATAATGTATTGTGTGCATTATATTATAATTTGAGACGTGGAATATAATGTTCCACGTGCCTTTTTCATTCGTTGTGCCTTTTTTCCCCCTAAATTTAAAACTTTTCAGAACTGCCAAATAATTTTCTCAGTTTTGTTTTCAAATGATAAAATTATTGAAAAGGGGAATATCAGTGATTGAATCAGGAACCTTATTTAGCCCCCTCCCCTCCATAAAAAAAAATCATGCCTGTCCCATAATTAAGAATTTGTTTCTGACCAAGTGCCTTTTGATTTCAAGCTTTACTGATTATGAATTTGTAGAAGGTATTCAAAAAGGGGGAACCATTATTCTGTGTTGTACTGTCGTACTAGTCACTTATATTTCTTTTTGTCAAAGAAAGGAAATTGCTAGTTGTAGATATTACTTTATATAATCTATTCTTGGACCTTTAAAAATAAAAATGTGAAGTATAGGATGGGATATTGCATAGTATGTTTCTGCAGCTGATATTCAGTTAAACGCTTAACATATCGGTAACAATTTTCAGTTTATTTATTAGACCGAACAGTACATATATAGCAATTTTGTTTAATGTATTTGGTCAACAATAATAAAAAAGGGGATGAAATGTTTTTATGTATTTTTAGTATGTGTATTTCTGGAGTTTTCCTTTTTGATGGATAGTTATTGCTTTATTTACTTATATGTATTAAAAAAAGTGCAAGCCGAATTTTTTTTATACTGTGCGAGGGTGTTATATGGATGCTGCGTTCTGGTGTTAAAGTATTTCTATTGAAAATTCTGATTATTTTTTAATTATAGAAATTTATTTATCACTGCAATGAAAAACACTTTTAAAGCATTTTAATGTATTGTTTTGTGAATTGAAGAAAATCTTTGGTATGATGTAACTGATACCTTTAATGATCGTAAAGTTATTTCTGTTTCTGATCAAAATCATCGTAGTAATTTTTAGAAATATAGTTTTAAAATTAGTATATGTGTTGATTATTGAATGCAATTTATTGTGCCACTGTGCTGAAATAATCTACAAAGTCTTTTAAGCCATGGTTTAAGTTGCCAAATACCAGAAATTCTTATATTGTAATTAATGTCTGAATGTTTTCAGCTTATTTAGATTAAAATTACATTGTAATAGTAAATGGTTTTTCTTAATGTATCCTCACAACGCTGCCATGGGAACTTCATGTTCTTTATTGGTTTTCTACTAATGAGGGAAAAGAAACATACTGAATAAAACACTGCTATCTTTTATAGCTAGATAGTATCCTGTCTTCAGTTATATGAGATAAAAAAAACATGGTAATGAATAGTTGAGCTTTCTTTCTGAAGTGTTTATATGACAAAGCTGATCAAGTATTACTGCAGTATTTATGAAAAAGCAAGAGCAACAAACAATATATTCTGGCTGATAAGTAACTATTATGCTAAATAATTTATTTTATATTTGAAAGGCACTGTTATAAAAATAAGTCGTAACTAAAAGTTATCTAGGTCTCTTAAAATTTATATTTGCTGGCTTCATTTTACTTTATAGTGTTGCGTGGCCCCAACTTGTCAGCAACTATGGTAGTGGCTGCTATGAACTGTAAATTACACAAACTCATAAGAAGGGTTTAAATCCCTTTTTATTCCACTTTAAAAATAACAGATGCGTTCACTTGACGCTCACAAACTACGCCTACCAGGCGGTTTAACAAAAACAGAACTGTGAAACTAAAAATTAATGACAGGATGAATAAACAACTAGATCACTACCTACGAGGCTCTAAAATCGTAACTAACTAAACCGCGTTCTAAAATACAGCTGAGATTCAGCAAGCTTGCTGATTAAGCAGTTGAAAAATTCAACGAACTGCCGAGATAGGCACACACGTCGAATCGCGCGGTTCTTAAATTTCTACCTAGCAACCTTCATATTAGCAATTCAAGAAGCACACATACAATCTCGTTTCCCTTCTATTTAAACTCAACTTACTTCTGCTAAAATTTGAATATACTGCGCGTTCTACTACAATTTACATACTCTGGCATTGGCAATTCTAGGGGAAAGTAAAGGCTTGACAGGAAAGATAGCTTAAAATAAATGTTAGTTAAAATAAATATAAACCCTACAACTTGTCTGCAGAATTGCCCAGGTATACTAAAAAATATTGTGTTTTAAATTATTTTTGAAGAATACAGAGGAAGAATTTTGTCTGTATCTGATTAACCTTTTAATAGTCATCAATGAGCTGAAATCTCATTACAAATTTACAACCGATACATACTGCACGTATTTGGGAAGAAAGAATTGCTTAATCGCTCAACTGCAAAAGGGCTAACGAAAGAGAGTAATAACATAAATGTGTATAGTCCTTTTTTCAGTAGTTTAATTAAGCTGCTTCATTCGTTCATTTTATTCACTCAAAGGTAACCTTATGCATTTAAATTTTGTCTATTTTATGTCATTATCTCCATTTAGTGCTCTTAATTTTTTATGAATATGCTGTTTTGAATCAATTCTGGACTCTCTTTTATTGTAGCATAATAAAATCAGGTTTCCCCACCCTTTAAAAATAATTTTTAATAGGCAGGTATGATAAGGTGTGGTGCTTCTAATAATAGATTTCATTTGTTCTTTGTTCAAACATATAAGGGGAAAATTATGAATGTGTTTTAAGCTTCTGTAGTTTGCTATGTATGTTTTCAGATTTATTATAAGCAGTTACTATTTTTAGGATAGAAAGTGGAAATCACTAATTTAAAAGGGAAAGTTCAGAAGCTTTTTCAAGCTAGTATTTTATCTTGTATGTCATAGCTACCAGGTCTAGTAGTTTTTTTTTATTTTTAACCATTACTAGGAAGAGTTTTACAGAAATAAAATTTCTAGTGTTACAGAGCTTTGAGCTTTTAAACAGCATTTGGAAATGTGAATTCTTTACTAGACGGTTCCAAATTTGGCGACTTATCAATATTTTGGCGATTTTAAGATCAATTTCTATAGAAAAGTTTTAATTCAGAAATCTGGGAATTTTTCGCCGATATTTTTTTAAATATTATAACTTTGATCAATTTCATTAAAATAATGCTAATACATTGAAATTTTGATTAAGAAATAACATTAAAATTAAACATTTTTATTTTTCGCTATCATATAAAGTGACATTACTTTCGATTTTTGGCGACTTATTACACAATATTTTGAATCTAAAAAATAAACAAGGTAATAAACACTTAGCACAATTTATGAATTAATTCTTAGCAAAAAAAATAGATATGTAATTAATTAAAACTGCCTTCGTTGTAATTTTTTCATGGTGAGAGTTTTTCCTATGTAGTTGTCTGAATATGCGTCAGTTTTCTCTATGAAATTAATTTTCTACTTTTCCCTCTGATTTTTTTTTAAAAAAATTTCAGACTTTTTGCTGTTACGGAATTGGTTGGGGTAATTTTTCTTCAGGATTTTTGACTCTGCAACTTGCAAAGTTAAGAAGGATTTTAAAGCAAGATTTACGGTCCCATAAATCTAGAAGATTCCAGACAGATGTCTTCGTGGTATTAACACGTAATGGATGTATTTTACAGAAAGTTTGTGATAAACTTTTGGGAGAATTTTCTGAAAAACAAGGAAAACATAATATTTAAATGGCACTACACATTTTCCTACCTGATGCTATCTCTTTGGATCTTAAATTGTAAAATTTTGCCATTTCTTGATTTTATTGCTCGGTGTGTCACTAAATTCTAAAAATTCTGCTACATCGGCTCTGCAACCAGCCCATAACCGTATATCATTTTATATTTATTCTGAATGTTCACATCACTAAAGAAATAAAATTAGCACCTTTTCCTATAAAATCTATATGCATTTACTTTTTTAGAATAACAGAAATCTTTAATTAAATCAAAAAATTCTAAAATGAAGATGAAACGTATTGAAAAAAGAAATGGAATACATAAAAAGAAAGTTATTCTTCAAAGATATGTACAGTAGTTATTATGTATAATTTCAGCCTTTGCTATAATTTTTCCTTTCCGTTTCCTCACCAAAATGAAAATCACCTAGATAATTTTTAAACTAAGGTTTTCGAGTTTTAAGACAATTTGTTTCTTCCCTCCGCTTGCACCCTGAATTAATTCCTACCAGCTCTGATAATTTATAATTATTCGTTTTTGCGTTATCATTGCCTATACTTGAATTTGTTACGCGATAACTAGGTTACGAAGAGTTACGAGTTTGTTAACTCTTTCGCATTGAGAGAGGGCAAAATCTCAATTCCCCAAATATCGAAAACGCCCGTATCTAAGAATTTCTCTTGGAATGCTTTTTCTTCCCCCATGACAAGTTGAATACTACAGCGCTAACAATAGCCTTACTTAAGTAAAGCGAGAACTTCTTTCTTCGACGCTTTGACACTGCGTGATGTTCCCCCTTGGGATGGGATTGCAACTTCGGGCATCAAAAAAGCTAAACACTGACAGTAAACAAAGGAAACGGGAAGCTACTTTAGTAGCTTCAAAAGAATGATTGACATGTGATTTAACAACACCTGAAAGCAATGAGTAATGCAGTAACGTGATGGGGGAAAGCACTGGGTAGGAAATTATTCAGGCGTCCAGCCGATGTCTGAATGCTCGGGCGCTTGGGGTGACTTCGATGCGAAAGAGTTAGGGCATGTTACTACTGAGCCAGCTTAGATTAAAATTAAATTGTCTGGTCTTTG